CTCCCCCCTCCCCCGCCTCGCCGCCACCCGAGGATCCCGCCGGCTGCTGCGCGTCTTCCGGTGAAGGTGGCGGCGAGGATCTGCTGCCTCACGCCGCTGTGAGGGGCTCTGGAAGCAGGGCGGCGGCCCTGGTTGGAGATGGCGGCGTCGATCTCTCCGGTGGATGGCGCGCGCAGGTGCTGGTCGTCCCTTCCGGCCGCGTGGGTGGCGTGAGGGCGGCGAGGCCTTGCTGCTGCGGCGGGCGGCTTTCTTCCTCTCGGCCCCTTCCCCTCGCAGTGGCCTCCTCTCCTGATTTGGTGGCTGGCCCGTCGGATCTGGTCGAGGATGGGGTGGTGGATTCTTGGATCGGGGGAAACCCCTGGTCGATTTTGCGTCGACCTCGACGCCGGCGGCGCTCCGGTGTCGTCCCCCTCTTGAGGGCGGGTCGAGCTTCCAGATCTGTCCCCCTCTCCCCCCTTCCTGCTCCAGGCGAAAGTCTTGGCCTTTTGGCCGGACGGCGGAGGCGTTCTGGCGTCTTGATCCTCCTTGGAGGCGCCGTTCAAGGGGAGGTTGGAGGTTGGGCGTGCTGCTTGGTGGTGGGTGGCAGCAGCTGTGCTCGGATCCCCTGGTTGCCGGCGTTGGTGGTGGGATGTTGGCTCTTCCGCATCTTTCAGTGGCTCCCCGCCTTGTCTGCTGGTTGGCGGCCGGCCGGTGGTGGGCGTCCGGCACGGTCTGGGCGTAGGGGAGATAGTGGTCTCCCCTCCGGCAGTGGCCCGAGGCAGTGGGCGGCGGAGTCGATGGTTTCCTTCAAGCGGTCTGGGCCTTCATGTCCACGGCAATTGTCGGCGTAGGGTGGCTTCGGCCCTGCTGTTCTGTCTGCACAAGATCTCCGGTGGCTTGATCGTTGGTTCTCTTAGATGCTTTGTTCGCTGCTGCTCCGGTCGTAGTGGATTTGGCATGTATTTTTCAGGTTTTGGTCAAGTCTTTGCCTTTGTAATTCAGCACCATTGTATCCTAGCCGGTTGATGGCTTCATTAATTTGAAGTCGGGCCTTCGTACTTTTTCTCTAAAAAAAAGAATGGCTTGGACAAGCAGGCGATGAGGAAAGAGAGATGCTGCTGCGGGGCGTATATGGTCTTTGGTTGGCAAGAAATGAAACGAGAGACGGCAAAAGGATCCAGAGCACGATTGAAGTAGCGTCCTCGGTATCTCGCTTCATGGACGAATGGATTGAGATTGTCAACAAGAAGGCAAGAACAAAGGTGAAGGTGGGGATGGATCTTAGCCAACACTGATGGAGCAGTGGCAAAAGATGAGACAAAGGGAGGATCTTAGCCAACACTTTCGCGACCATAATGGTGCCTTTCAGGGTGCCGCGACTCTTTTCTTCCCTGGTGTTGATAAACCGGATATAACAGAGTTAAAGGCTTGTCAAAAAGCTCTCCAATTTGGGCGCGAGTTGGGAGTCCAGAAAATCCACATTCGGAACTGATTGCAGGAAAGTGGTAAGCATGATTAATACTCCCTCCGTCCCAAAATTCTTGTCTTATATTTATCTAAATACGAATATATCAAGTTACATTTTAGTATTAAATACATCCATATCTAGTAAGACAAAAAAATTGAAACGGAGGGAGTAGTAGCGAGTGCGGCTAGACCGATTGTGGAGGATATCAAGAGTCTTATGCAAGACTGGCAAAAAGTGACCTGGAAGAGGCGCTCAGCTAATAGAGCTGCCCACATACTAGCTAAGCGTGCTGTAGCTTCCAAAACTATGCCACCTGATTGTACGTAATCCCTCCGTTTCAAAATAGATGACCCAACTTTGTATTAAATAATATAAAGTTGAATAATCTATTTTGAAACGGAGGAAGTACTATTCATGTACTAGCGGATGAGATCATCCCAACCTTTATATTTAAGTAATGTACTGTTTCACCCCTCAAAACAAAAATAAAAATCAAATGGCGTGGTTTTAGTTCAAACGGAGCGGGTGGCAGATACGAGTTTGGTTATTAGAAATGCACAAAGCTTGTGTTTTCTTCACAGCTTTTCATTCCACGTGGAAACCGCGCGCCAGTAAAATGGCGTCGTGTGATCGCCGCGACTGACTGACTGTACTATCCGTGTGTCACGTGATGTACAGTCGATTATTCTCCTCGGCATTTGCACGCCAATCACGCGCACGGCGCACGTCACACGTGAAAGGATCGGATCGACGCAAACTCCGAGTTCGTTTCTCCACGTCTACCGGCTGTCGCCATCGCGTGCGGCGGCTCTGTCTCGTTGCCAGGACACCTTGACACGCGACCCTCCGTCCCCCAGACTGAGAGCCGCCGGGCTATCACCGGCGACACAACCGGTGCGGTGGCTCACCAACCGCACCGCACGAATATTCGTTCGTGCCGGTATAGTTTTGGTTGCACCGTACAGTACATTCGTACGCACGCCACCAACCTCGCTGCTCTCTCGTGCGTGCCAGGGGCCAAGACGGAAGTGGGGGCGGAGGAGCGGCACAGGAAAATTAAAGCGAGGACAGCAGCCTCCGGTGGAGAGCGGCGTCGTCGTCCATGTCGATGTCGATGTCGATGTCGATGTCGATCGATGGCCGATCTGCGACGCCGTCCGTGCACGCAGGTGCAGCTAGCGGTGCTCGCCCGGGGTCGCGAGCAGGAGCAGGAGTGCCTGGCTGCGTGCCCGGTTTTGTTTAGTTGAGTGAGTCCAGTCCTCGCCGCACCCGGCGTTGGACTTGTATATGGGTTGGACCCGGCCGCTCGCTCGCTCGCTCGCGGATCACCGTCAAGACACGGTGTGATGGACGCAGGGGGCGCATGTGTGTTTGTCACGTCCGGAAATGAAATGGAATGGTACCATTTCTCGTGAACTCTCTTGCATAGCGTGAGAAACTGCATGGTATGGACGTGCCATGCTACGTGTAAAGCTACATGCACCGACCAGTTCATTCAAAAACTCAAACTGATAGAAAAAGGTGGGCTGTGCATTTATACGTCAACACTATGCCATGATAATTTCATTGGTTCACTAGCGTAAACGGAGACAAAATGTAGCGTCAAAGTCTACAATCAGATGTTGGGACTTGCACATATCCATAAGAAAAAACCAATAAAAACAATGCACCTTTTCTTTTAAAAAAGAAGAAGCATACCAGGTGATCGTCTACCTAAACACTTTCATAAGTTGGGGTCGACGCGACAAAATAAGTGTAGCATATAGGGGTTGACAGAGGTGAGCGGCAGACACCGACCACCGGCGAGCACATACTACACAAACTCTTTTTTTTTTATCACAGGCTCACGCTACTGCAGAGAAAATTTGAACCCAAGCCTCTAGTTTGGTCTTGTAAATGGACCGAGAGCATCGCCAGTGCCACAGCAGGACGTTACCG